AGGAAGGAAGGAAGGAAGGAAGGAAGGAAGGAAGGAAGGAAGGAAGGAAGGAAGGAAGGAAGGAAGGAAGGAAAGAGGGAAGGAAGAGAGAGGGGAAGGAAAAAAGAGAAAGGAGAGAATCTGACTCCCTAGTGTGTTTGCTGTTATTAGAGCTTCACTGCTTATAGTTCACCAGGAATTACTAGAAAGTTCTTTACCTATCTCTGGGTCTACCCTCCTATATTTGAAGCCATTGGTTGAAACTGATTCTTCCAGCTAATCCAATTCCACTTCCCCTTTTCCATCATTGCCACTCTCCTACCTGGCCATGAAACCTGACTTCCATCAACCACAATATATTTGTTGATTTCCTAAATAATTTGAAATTTTAGGATTATGTTTTCTTGTAGTGGTGGTGAAGTCATAGACTTCTTGTGATTTTATTTGTTCTTGTTGAATTGCAGGTATGTGTGCACACATGCATGTTATATCTATGTTCTAGAAAATTTGGATTACATGATTGTCATTACCATAGCTACCTTCTAAGTTTGAATAACCATATGTGGTGGCAGGATAATTATCATGATTTTGAAGTTGTGGTGAGCAAGAACCATGTTTTTGTGATAGATAACAATAGCAATGTGGAATTTAAACAATACCTGTGATTTCTACTGATGATAAAACCATGTATGTACACAGATGGTGTGAAAGCTTAGCATTACTTTCATAATTGAAAGATGTACACTGTACTTATAGCTTAGAGAAAATATAGACTTTCTTCTCCTAATAGACATGTGGACTCAAGATTCTATGGAACTTCTTGGCCTGAGGAACTTCCATTGATGCCCAAATCATCACTCCACCTGAATTCAAGCCTCTTCCTTGTGGCCTTCCTCTTCCCAATCACTGTACGGTCTGGAACAGAGGAGGCCATGACACAAGATGACTTTAGCAACCACTATGCCAGACATTAGAGATTGCTCTGGATTCACAGACTTTTATCTCAATTTTTCAGCCACCAAGGGCAAAGTACCATGTGCTGACCTTGTCAGCAAGTTAGAAACTGCTCACCCTTAGACCAGGGGCAGGGATTCTAGTTTCCTCATCCTCCCATCTTCAGTGGCTTTGACAAATCACCTTATGGTGTTAAATCTATATTATCTTTCATTAAATGAAGTAGATAACATGCCTTCTCTAATGAAAAGGTGAGTGAGAGGATCAAATGAAACTGCATACAAAGTTAAGTATAGTCTGGAATGTAAGCCATGAGCTATAAGACTCCAAGATGGCCTCTGGTGAAACTAACCACACAGAGTGTGGTCGTGGGGCCTGAACTCTGGGCCTGGGCGCTGTCCCTCAGCTCTTCAGCTCAAGGCTAGCGTTCTACCACTTGACCCATAGGGCCACTTCTAGATTTTTTCTGCTTATGTGGTACTGAGAAATCAAACCCAGGGCCTCATGCATGCAAGGCAAACACTCTACCACTGAGCTACCTTCCCAGCCCCCAGCTTTGGATCTTTTAGAAGGAAAGAGATAAAAGCCAAGCTCAATTTTTTCTTGAGACTTAAAGAAGGTACACTATACTGAATTATTTTATCTGTGATTTGCACACCAATAGAAATGAAGTATATGTGTGTGTAGGTTTTTCTGTGTGGATATTTATATTCTTTCTTAGGACAATATTTATATAGACAAAAATATAATGTGTGCACTAAAATACTGAGTCAAAGATTATCATTGTTACCTCTTTTTATTTTTTTCTGTACTTGTTCCTTTTGTTTCACTTGGAGTATAAATTGCTTATAGGCAAAAGAAAGAAAGGAAAGAGAAAGAAAGAAAGAAAGGAAAGAAAGAGAGAGAGAGAGAAACACAACCTGAATTAACAAATTGTTAAAGGATTCAAATGATAAATCAGAAACTATCAAAAGGAAATAAAGTCCAAATTTATGAAATTGCTGGAGCTCCAAACTGCCTTTTGAACACAGTATCCATGACCAGAAGTCTGACCTTCAGTTACTGATTTTCCTCAGTGAGGCAGTCCTGGCCCTTGTGATTCTAAGGGAGGGCCAGATCAGGGCTGGAAACTATCTGGGTCATGGGGGAGGGCCTTTCCTGCGTATGTTTGTTCTCTTTGGCTCCCTGCTCCTCCCCCCACTGACTAGGGAGCCAATCCAGGTGATCCTGGGTGGGGAGGGAGCTAATGACCTCTTTCCCTCAGGTTGGTTTTCCACATAGCTGGGCCTCCAAGATGTGGGGTACTTGGGCAGCCATGGAGCATAGTCTGCCCTCAACCTCTTGTTCACTTCCTTCTTCTGCTGGGGTAGGCTTAGTCTTCCCTGGGCATCATGGTGGCCTGTGCTGAGGATAAATGCAGGCTTCAGAGGCAAGGGGGAAAGATGTCTTTCTCATGCTTGATGATAAGCCCATGGCTACTCCTATCCTTAACACCTACCATCAAAGCCTGTTTTACAGCATGATTTTGATCACTTGGTCTTCATTACACATGGCTATTTTTCTCACAGGAAGCTGGCATTTAGAAATTAGGCACTGGAGATAGGGGTTTAAGATTTAGCATTTCCCTCTCATTCTCTTCCTGTTCAATTCACCCCCCAGCTAGGAGCACAAGGACCTCCCAGACCAGTAATGTTCTCAAAGATAGGTAGAAGGCTGACACTTGCCTTTTGAAAACAAGAAAATGGAAGGGAATAGAAAATATTTTCTTAGTGACAATAGCAAAAATGCTTTCCTTTCTTGAAAATCTGAACATAATTGGGAGTGCCACAGAATACAGACTAACAGATTTTTTTCTTTGTAATTTTCTTGTAAAGGTGCTGTACAGAGGGGTTAGAGTTACATGAGTAAGGCAATGGGTACATGTCTTTCGAGCATTGTTACTCTTTCCTTTGTTGTTCTCCCACAATCCCTTCCCTCCCCCAGCTCCCACACTCCTCCCCCCCCCACTCAGAAGTTGTAAAGTTCATTTCCAATATACTGCCTTACGGGTATCATTGCTGCAATGGGTCATCCTGTGTCCTTGTTTCAGTGTTTTATTCTTCTTCTTCCCCTCCCCGTTTTGCTCTTGAATCCTACCAAGTAGCAAGAAGTAAGTTTTACTGTGAGAGCCTGTCTCTCAGATGGATAAGTTCATATATGAGACTGATGTCACCATTCTGTTTGGGCTCCATCCAGTGGCCTGTGTCTGCTCTGCTATATCACCACCTTCTCCACCTCCCAATTGTTTGATTTCCACTTTGTTGGCTTGTGCATTTCCTTAGAAGAATGGTTTTTCATTTCAGTGACCATCTTCTCAACAGACAATCCAAATACAAATTATTGGGTGACATAGATCAATATGCATTGTGCTCATGAACTAAAATGTTGAATTGAAACCTCTTTGTAGTAGTACTTAAAGATTATTTTAAGGGTTTTTTAGCTTGATTTTTCTTATTTTCTTAAAGGAGTTGCACAAAGGGGTTTCAATTCAACTTCCTATTTATCTTCCCAAAATACCTCAAATTTAACCAACCTTGATGGTTCTAATTTGAATTTTCTTTCTACTTTGAAGACTTAAGACATCATCTTTGATTATCACATACAGGAACAAGAAGAATGTTCTTTTTGGTGTTGATCTTCCTCATCCTCTGTGCTTTCCTGTGGAATTACAAAGAACAACTGCAGATTGCAGACATCACTGAGAAGTATATTTTCATCACCGGATGTGACACTGGATTCGGAAACTTAGCAGCTAAAACTTTTGATAAAAAGGGGTTTCGTGTAATTGCTGCCTGTCTAACTGAATCGGGATCAACCGCTTTGAAAGCAGAAACTTCCGAGAGACTCCACACTGTGCTTCTGGATGTAACTGACCCAGAGAAAGTCAAGAGCACCGCCCAGTGGGTGAAAAATCATGTTGGGGAAAAAGGTGAGAGAAGGTCAAGATGGTAAAGATACAGGGCAGTGACCTAACTAAAACAAAATAAAATAGGTTAGCATTGTAAAACAGCCTTTCCAGAAAATGTCTCCTGAACACAAGGTGTGTACTTATCTAAAATCAGCAGAAATTTGGAGTTATTGCACATCAGGGGCTCTGTGTGTATAAGACACACCCAGATGGTGCTCAGCCTTAAGTCGCAGTGAGAGAATTCAGAACAGAGATGTGAATCCTGACTTTTCCTGGTCTCCTGTGAAGGACCACTCCAGCCACATACATGGCACAAGAAATCAGGATCAAAATTTCCAGTAGAATATGAGAGCAACCCTCAAAGCTGAATACTTGGGTCCTACTTTTCTACCACAATGGCTCTAGAGGCTATACATTTTCAGTGGGTCAGACAGAAAGGGACCAGTTTAAGTCTTAGACAGTTGGGTGTGTATGAGCCATCAGACATTCTCTACACTAAGTTCTGCTAAAATGGTTGCATTCTGAACTGGAAGGGTTTTATCAGCTTTGATCAAAATTAGAAATACTCCCATGGAGGAAAGTATTGGTGCTCACAAAAGGATGTGTGTGTGTGTGTGTTTCTTTTCTCATTTACATCTTTATCATGTATCTGAGAATATGATTTCATAAGGCTCCAGATAATCGTTAATGTTTTAATTCCAAACACCTTTAACAACACTAAGTGTAAAATAAGCTTCATGAATGAACATTTTTACTAAAAATATAGAGTAGATTCATATTACTATTCTTTACCTATACAGAATATTTTATAAATATAGTATGAATTTGTCATCCAGCCAGGTAGGAAAACCAGACCAATAGACTTACACATCTGCCATGAGAAAAAAAAGATAGTCTCACTTGGAAAGTATCAGTATTTGAAATTCAGAACCCTAAATAGAATAACAGTGAGACTAAACCCAAGAACCAAACTTCAACGATTATAATTTAGCCTCCCACTCTCTGTCACCATTTCTCCAAACTTCAAAGTCATTCAAGGCAGATATATGACTACAAAGAGGAAATGACTTCATTGTAGAAAGCAGAAGATGAGCTTCCAACAAGATGCCCATACACATGCTACCGTCTCTCTCTGTTCTAGGTCTGTGGGGTCTGATCAATAATGCCGGCATTCTTGGTGTGCTGGCTCCCACCGACTGGCTGACCGTGGAGGACTACAGAGAACCCATTGAAGTGAACCTGTTTGGACTCATCAGTGTGACATTAAATATGCTTCCTTTGGTCAAAAAAGCTCAAGGGAGGATTGTCAATGTCTCCAGCATTGCAGGTCGTCTCGCATTTGGTGGAGGGGGCTACACTCTATCCAAATACGCAGTGGAAGGCTTCAATGACAGCTTAAGGTAATGTAAAGTAACTGATTTAAGAAATACTAGCTGTGAACATTTATTGAATGTTTAGTAGCTACCAGACACACTGTTTAGTACTTTAAATTATTTCTCCTCTATAAATGATACCACTGAAGCTAAAATAATTAAGTGTGTTGGCCAAGGTCACCCATAAATCAGTGGCACAACTGAGATTTGAACTCATCTAATTCTAAGTTTTGTCTTAATGCATGATACTAATAATGGTAGTGAATTAATATTCAATGGGTCAGTTTGTCAGATAAGGATGGGAAATTAGAGAAAGTGAATCAAGGTAGGCTTCACCATGGTTGCTGCTAGTCATTTGAGATACAACATAATCTTACTTAAACCCTCAGTAGAAAGGTATGCATTCTTACCTACCTGCTCAATGTACTCAGTCCACCTATTACAGAAGGAGGAGAGAAGGATGTGTTTAATGGATTTTATCTGAAACCAGAATTTATCACTGAAATAATTGCAAGTGGTTCTTTCAGTTGAGGTTCTGACAAGAGATGATAACATATTAAAATTGGGTAAAGGAAGTAGAGTTATCTTATTTTCAGACAGGTAGATAACATAGAGGGAAATCCTAAATGTAGTATTTAGGAGTTAATAATACTAGGGACATTGTTGTTTTTTGTTTTTATTGTGAAAATACTGTACAGAGGGGTTACAATTACATGGGCAAAGTAATGAGTACATTTCTTATCAAGCATTGTAGCCTCCTCCTTTGTTTCCCCTTCCCATCCCTTCCCATCCTCCCCCCACCCCCCCCAACTCCTCCACCCCACCCCCCCCCTCAAAGTTGTAAAGTTCCTTTTCGACATAACGACTTGTACATCTCATTGTTGCAATGAGTCAATCTGTATCTACTAGGGACATTTCTATTCATAGACTGAAGACAAGGAGTCAGGGAAGCTTCCAGAACATGGAGACAAAAAGGCTGTCAGCTTCCATTGAGGGATAAAGTAATTCATGTTGACAACACAGGCAGAATAACTAGCTCTTCTCTCTTTCCTCCCTTTCTCTCTATCTCTGATATCCTTCTGGCACATCAGTGTTCCCATTGGAAGCCAAGGTAGAGGTAAATTGGTGAACCCACAAATGTGGCGCTGGCAAAAGGGACTGAAGAAGTAAACGGAAAATAGCCAGCTAAGTATACTGTGAGAGAAGACAATATTAGATGACATTCCTTCATTTCATCTCTTTATTTAATTAACTAGTATGTGTTGAAGACATGTGTTAGAGTTTGTCATATATGCCATAGATTTAGAAGTAGCTTACTAGCAAAAGGACAGATTAACTCCATGAAATTAAAGATGAAATAACTCATTTTCCATGTGATCATGTTGCCAAGTTTGATTCTCCCAGGAAATAAATGAATAATCTTGGAATAATGTTTACAAAACATTCAATGTGAATTTGAGTCGCTAGCTTTGGATGTTGTGAAAAATGCAAAATGGAGTGGGCCTGGAGTAGAGCCCAGGTTTCTGGTTTTTGAACCCACCAGAATGTTCCTGATGGATCCAATCTAACACATTGAGTAGAAAGGTCATGGAGAACCTTCTTTAGTCCCATTAGTTGACCACTGGTTGCAGTCTACAAGCAGCAGTATTGTAAAAGAAATTTTTCAAAATAGTATATTTAGAGGTTTGTTCACTCCCCAGTCCTGGGGATTGAACTCAGGGCCTACATACTGTCCCTGAGGTCTTTTGTTCAAGGTTAGCATTTTTCCCCCTGAGCCACAGCTCCACTTCCAGTTTTAGAGATCAGAGTCTCAAGACTTTCTTGCCCATGCTAGCTTTGAAACATGATCCTCAGATCTCAGCCTTTTGAGTAGTGAGGATTCCAGCCCTTTGTTCACAGATTTGTGGAATTTTCAGTGTATCTATACAATACCTGAATCATGAGATTGGTATGTGAAGTGGTATTTCGCATTCAGAAACAGTCCGGTTCCAAAATATCTACCTATAGTAGAGTTACGGGCAATAGTCTGAGAAAGGATCAGGATTCTTGAAAGCTGCATTTGCCTAACACACATTCTGATTTCCTACTGATTTTGTTTACTTTGTAAGCTTAGGTGGCTTGTCTCTAGATAAGATGTTATTTTCATGAGTGAATAGAAGTTCTCAAATATTCTCTTGGAACTTTTGTTTCCAAGATCCAACAGAGATCAGCGCGCAGGTGAATAAAATATAATTAAGCCAGAAAATAACCTTTTTTTTTAATTTTATTTTATTTGTGAACATGCTGTACAGAGGAGTTACAATTACGTGGGCAGGATAATGCGTACATTTCTTACCAAGCATTGCAGCCTCCTCCTTTGTTTACCCTTCACATCCCTTCCCAGCCTCCCCCCTCCCCCCCAATCCCAATCCTTCTCCTTCCCCCCCCCTCCCCCCCCCCCCAGCACCGACGTTGTAAAGCTCGTTTTGGACATGACAACTTGTACTTCTCATTGTTGCAACAGGTCCACCTGTATCCTTAAACAACTGTTTTTTCCCCATCTCCTCCACAAGTTATACTGACATCAAATATAGTGAAAGCAGGGGTTATACTGTGGGGGAGGGACATACAAAGCAACAAAGAGATAATCTTATAAATGCATTAGAAACACATGCATGAAAGAAAAAAACATTAAAATACACATCTAAGGGTTCATTTTCCTGACATCACATTATCTGACCTTTTCCGCTTGACTCATACATATACTAGATATTACAAATAAGGGAAACCATGGGACCTATGTTTCTTTGGGCCTGGCTTACTTCACTTAATATAATTTAGAAAATAACCTTTTTGTAATGTAAGTTAACTATCTTTTAAAATCTTTCTATGTCAAGCCAATATCCATTTTAATAAAGTATATTTCAACTTATACAATAGGTTTTGGGGAGTAAATTTACAACCTTTTGAAATTCATAAAAATAATTTTTAACAATGGAAAATGGATTCAATCACATTTTAAGTTCACTACTAGAGCGTTTAAAAACTCTTAATGGTGAAGACCTCTTCAAAATGCGTCATTCCTTTGTTCTATATTCATGATGTTTACACATTAAACTTAGGAAAGGATTCTACTAGTCTGTCATGCCTTGTTTTGCTTTCAAGAGAGGGACACTACAAGGCTTCCAAATCCTTGACAGCCAGTAAATGAGTAGAATTTTGGTTTTCTGTAGTGACATGATATAAAAGCTTGCTCCACAGCCTAGGGACCCGGTGAGGTCCATCAGAGCTGGTTGTGTTGTGGCCTTCAGCATCCTCATTTTGTGCAGTAGTCTCTGCATATTTATAAAATAAAGGTAAACTTTTCCATCCAAACCAGTCAATGGCTATTGGTCCACTTCCCCATAAGCTAGCTTGCGTACTGTGAAGAAACAGTCTGAGCCCATTTTTTTCATCAGTTTCCTGAGGCAAGTGTGGCTTACAAAGATAAAGCACTGGAATGGTGGTGTGCCAAGCTAATTTCTCTGGACCTGTTTCCTCATCTGCTAAATGACAAGGTAAAAATGGATTGATGCTTGTTTCCAGTGCACACGATTCTGTGGCTCCATGAAAAGATTTATGAGAAAATCGTCAGAAAAATAGCATACAGCCTACAAATAAATCTAAAAGCAAAATTAGGGCTTAGGATGGAGTGCTTGCCTGGCATGAATGAAGTCCTAGATTCAATGCTGAGCACTGGGGGGAAAAAAATCCTTAAATAAGGAAACATCTTCAACTATTCTTTCCACAGACGGGACATGAAGGCTTTTGGTGTGCACGTCTCATGCATTGAACCAGGATTGTTCAAAACACATTTGTCAGATCCAATAAAGACAACTGAAAAGAAGTTTGCCATTTGGAAACATCTGTCTCCAGACATCAGACAGCAATATGGAGAAGGATACATTGAAAAATGTGAGTTGCAGGGTGGAGCCCGTGCCCTCGGGGGCATTGTCTGGGGCCACTCTCCTAGCCAGCAGGAAGGAGACCCAACCATAAATTAATGTTCTCAGAGATTTTTAAAACTGGATCAGAGGTCATTATCAATTCCAATGCCATCTCTTGCTTCTCTGAGCCTATAAAATTCACTGTGTGTTCACTACGTAGCAAGTTCTATGGTAAGTCCATCTAACATACATAATTTATTCCTCGAAAGAGCTACTGGAATAGTGACAGAGGCTTTGCAATGTTCCCCCCAAAGTTATACAACCACTCCTGGACTCACGTAGGTTGCTCTAGGGCTCGTGGTCCTCATCTCTACAAAAAGCACCAGTCATTCACTCAACATTATTGGAGGATTTCTGGAAGTTATAAAAGAATAAAGAAGACTCAGAATCTGACCCTTACAATCTAATATACAACAAAATGTAAACAGTGAGATTGTGAAACAAGGAAACTACAGTACACAGCCTCTTAGCGGTAAACCCAAATCCCAGAAGTAGTACTAGATAGTATGGTATTTAGTTGCTCAAGGGATTTAGAGCAGAAAATGTGCACTGCTGCTTAAAAAGTCTTAGTGGAACAGGTCAGGCTTGAATAACATCTAAGAAACAGGAATAAATTATTTAGATGGAAGCTTCTAGGAGCAGTAACGTATGGAGAGGGAAATAGGTCATAAAAGTCATGAGTCACCTGGGTGCTGGTGGCTCATGCCAGAAACCTTGGCTATTCAGAAGGCTGAGACTCAGAGGACTGCATTTGAAGCCAACCTAGGCAGACAAACCGTCAGACACCATCTCCAGAATAACCAGCCTCAAACCAGGCTGGTGGTGTGGTTCAAGTGATAGAGCACGTCTAGCAAGCAAACAAGGTGAGTCAGCAATCTGAGCAAGCTCAAGTCTCTGAGTTCAAACTAGTACTGGTGGGGGGAAAAAAGTCATGAGTCAAAAGACTGAGTCAGAGAGGAAGAATAATAATAAAGATTACATAATGATGATTACTTCTGTGAACATTTACTAGGCATTTATTACCATTCTAAGTGCTTCACAAGCCTTCGTTCATTTACAATCCCTAAACTGGAGAGACAGTTCTATGATCTCCTGCATTTTGTAGAAATAAATACCTGGGAAAGAAACTTACCTGAAATTGCACAGCTCTTCCCTTGTAAGTGGAAGAGCCAGATTTGAACCCAGCCAGCCTGACTGGCACTGGCACTGCACTAAAATGCAAACAATGCATTGAGGACACTGGTCAGACTTACCTCACACTTTTTGTCTCTATTGATGTTGATTTTCCTGTTCCTCAAATATTTATAGAGCTCTTGCTTTAAGTTATATAGACACTTCTGTGGCACAGTTCAAAGTCAGAAGTTTTGTGGTAAAGGCAAAAGCCAAGTCAGATATACTTGGGAGGAATTTGAAATAACTAACACCCCCAAATACCACCACCCCAACACAAAAGCACGCACACATGCATGTGTCACACATATATGTAGCATATCTTTTGTCTTATTACAATAGCCATTCTAAAAGGTACAAGGAGCTAGCTCATTGAATTTGTATTTCCCTGGTGAGTAGTGATGTTGAATATTAAAACAATTCATATTGTTTACCAATTCTTCATCAAATGTAGTGTGTACAAATAATTGTCCCATTCCATAAGCAGTCTGTTCATTCTTTTAACTAATGCCTTCTCAGTGCAGGAGTTTTTATTTTCTACAATGCCATCTATTGTAGCTTTTGTTGTCTACATCTTGGAGTCATATCCAAAAAGCTATTGCCCAGACCAATGTCAAAAAGAGTTTACCCTACATTTTTTTCCTAATAGTTTTATACTTTTAGGTCTTACACATGTCCTTGATCCATTTTGAACTAATTTTTGAACATGGCATGAGACAGGCATCCAATTTCACACTTCTACATATGGACATCTAGTTTTCCCAACACCTTTTATTGAAGAGATGGGCTCCAAACCATGACTGATTGCTTGTAAGGTACCTATCTCTCAGAAAGGATCTTAGCTTATTACTCATTTCCTGAGATACTTCAAACCTCTTGACTCAGAATGTTTGGAATGATTCACGCTTTCCTCTCAGAATTATAGAGGCCTGTGGTATTGTGTCCATACTCTCATATCCATGAGTTCCTACACACTCACAGAAAACACACATGCACACTCACAGTACTTCTCTAAGACAATTTAGGAACCAAACCTATGACTTCCTAGGCTTAGGGACTTCATGGGCCTTATAAAGTATCTTTCTCCTGTTGTCTTGAAGGAATAGTCCTCAAAATAGAGTCCTTTGACCTCAGCAAGCATCTCACCTAGAAATGTGTTAGAAATACAAATGACGGGGCTGGGAAGGTGGCTCAGTGGTAGAGTGCTTGCCTTGCATGAATGAGGCCCTGGGTTCAATTCCTCAGCACCACATAAGCAAAAAGAAAAAAGCCGGAAGTGGTGCTGTGGCTCAAGTGGTAGAGC